TTTGACTCTCTTAGTAAAGATTGGGATAATTTTCTTAAACGTTTAATGTTAGTGAAACTTATTACTCCTGAGGCTCACTTTGCATTCTTCCCGTCCTCGACCTCAGTTAGATTTACACGCTATTGCAATAATGGTTTTTTTAAGTACTGGTCTCGAGTCCACTTCCGTCGGCCTCTTTCTTTTTACCACACGAGGCTAAGTTATCTATCCTCTGAGGAGGTTAAAATAAAGGTGGATTTGTGTGCTTAGTATAAAGGGATCGACTATGAACAAGGATATGGTCCTGGAAAAGTGCCTATTTCTTAACGAAAGAAGAGACACATTGATACTTACGTGATTATCAGTGCACCCGACCATGTAGAAAGGTAAGAACTCTTTGGTGAGGATGATAACCTGGGGCGCCTTTTTTAAAACAAGTGTAGCTTGTATCTTGCAGATAATATGAATCGGTTGTAGAAGCTTCTCATGCTTGCCAAGAATGGGGTCTTACGACCGACTCATCGAGTCATGTGGTGAAGACTTCTGCTGTAGCGACTACTCTTACTATGGTGGTTTAGACAATGGTTACAAATATTGCCTTTATAATTGTTGTGACTATTATCCATGGTACAACTCCTAAGGTGAACCAGTTGACTACTACGACAAATAGCCTTTTTGTTCGTGAGCCTTCACCATATTCTTCTTCTATAAAGAGGAATTATGGTGATTGTCTGTCAGCTCCTATTGAAGAGGATTCTTCTAAATGGGCTTGTTTGTTAAAGGATGTTGAATTAGAGGCTCTTACTTCTTTCTTCTTGCTCCCCGCTATTCTTCCCTATCGAGTGCCTAGCACCTTAGAGGAATTTGCTACTACTGTGGCCACTAAGGACCTACCTTTCTAAATGCTTGAGCTTGAGAAGCTTCCGGTCTAGTAAGACCATAAAACTCACTAGGATAATCAATATTATTAAACTAGACAAAGCAACAAGCTATAAAACCAAAAACGGCTAAAGCACCTAAATTATAAGATAAGTAAGCTTCCCCAAACCATACTAGTGCACGCCGAGCCCATGCAAAGGGTTTGGTTAAGATGCCAGATTCCACCAAGTATACAAATGGAACCCAACCATACATGTCCCCCAATTATATCTTCCAAATCGTCCATACTAACAATCCAACCTTCTCCCTCAAAAGATTTTAGTAAATAACCAAATATAATGCTTTGACTAAGGGTTAAGTACCTGTATGCAGGTTATAGACTAGGTATTTTTATGGATGCTTCTCACACCCTATTCAGGTTCGAATCTCTAGTTTCGATGGTAACTTTCGTCCAGAAGGATGTATTAGGTTCTTGCGGCCTCTCTAGAGAGCGGGATGAGCTAAAGGATAAGTGTGAAACCTTTGAGCGGGAGAATTTCAAGGCTGAGCCGAATTTGGTTGAGCATGGAAAAAGGATGTGTGTGTTGACTCTTTAAATGAGAAGGTGAAATAATACATTCTCCGACGACTTTGACTGCTTAGATAGCAAAGTTGAAGATTTCTCCTGTCGAGGGAGAGAAAAATTGGAATAAGGCTTCTAAAGATGCAATGAAAGCATGTCGTGAATTTTGGAAAGATCTTCAGTAGAAGAAAGATGATCGAGCTAACTTTTTGAAAGTTTTAGAGGAGGACCTGCCTACTGCACGAATGACATCTAAATAGTCCCTTCACCGAGTTATGGAATATGTGTATCGGGTTCAGGATCAGATGCTGGAGCAGACGCAAAGATTTTGTCCGGACATTTTTGTCACTGCTGACCAACTTGATCCCTTCTAAGCTGTTTGTGGAGAGAACGCCAGAGATGGTCTAGGTGTATTATAGTCGGGTGCTGACGCTTGAGGATCTTTTTGCTCCCCTTTATCTTTTATTTTTTCTTTGTTCTTGTAATACTTTACCAGGCTTTACATCTTGCTTGTGAACAATATTTATTTATATCAGTATCTTTTGCGTGCTTGTGCTTTTGGTTTCATATTATGCCCTTTTTTATTGTACTTTTTAGTTGACTGATAACCGGGAGCGTTAGGGTTCAATTTTAACCCCTACAATTTTTAGAGTTTGTTTCTTACTAAAGAGCGATAAACAATATATGCTTAAAGTGTAAATAACCTTAAGTTATTCGTTATGTCGTGTATGACTGCTTCATTCGTGAGATGCCATGTTAAGATGTACGCATTTTATTAGTAAGATGATAGTCTGGCTAAATGCGACCATAATTGGAATGTACTTACACTGATAATGCATGGCTTGACGTGTTTGATCTTTAAATTTCATTTATAACGTCGAAATGTTGGTCAGGCTTGACGTAACCATATATTGAATTTGTGATTGTGAGGCATGAAACCGACTATATGGGGTTATGCTTTGAATTTCCATTATAAAGATTTCACATGGAACCGGGAAGGCGTAAATATGCTTTGAATCATATTCATAGGGATGAGGCATGAGACTAGCTAGAGGCAGTTATGCTTTTAATCATATTCAAAGAGATGTGGTGTGAGATTGGCTAGATGCGACCATGCTTTGAAATTCGCTCCGTGTCACATATGATCATTCCTCGGCCAAGGGTAGAGGATCTTCGTCTCCTCCCCGAGGTAAAGCTCATATCAGTGTAAACGTCTTCGGGCTCCACCATTCACGTCCCTTGGATTGGCTATATCATAAGGGGGTGCGCCAACTACATAGAAATTTGTGTCATCTTTGACTAACAATAACTTATGTTGTAGTCTGACATGAAAAACATCCTTGACGACATCCCTCGGGGAATTGGTTGTTGTAGTCGGACATTCAAAGCGTGTCAGACAACTCCCTTAAAATCTCCAAGTGTGCTCGACGTTGTGGAGTATTGATTATTGTAGTCGAACGTGCAAAGCTCCAACAACACCCATATGAGAATTGGTTGTTGTAGTTGGACGTGCAAAACATCTCAGACAACTCCTCTAAAACCTTTATTTTAAGTGTCAATTGCATTGGTTGTGCCCCAATTCGTTGTTACGTGCATTCACACTTTAGTACCCTAAAGAGCAAACAAGACAGAAAGCAAGTTAACACACACACACACACACACACACACACAGAGACATATATATATATATATATATATATATATATATATATATATATATATATATATATATATATATATATATATATATATATATATATATATATATATATATATATATATATATATATATATATATATATATATATATATATATATATATATATATATATATATATATATATATATATATATATATATATATATATATATATATATATATATATATATATATATATATATATATATATATATATATATATATATATATATATATATATATATATATATATATATATATATATATATATAATTTGCATTTAACAATTATATTGGAAATTGCAATTAGGCAAAAAAATTATCAATACATTGATTAAATATTACAGTGGACTATAAATTTATATCGATCACTAGCCTGCAAATGCATTGTCCGGGTTGTTTGATTGCCAACTGATCTGGAGGATGGGGTCTTTGGCTTCGGAAACGGTTGGCCTTTAACGGATGTGTCTGAGGTGTTTTTCCTTGCATTTTCTCCCTATGATATGGGCTCTACTTGTTGTGACTCTTGCCTGCTAGTCAGCTTTCCTCGAGTATGAGTTATGTTTGGACAAAGATGGTGTTCCTCGCCCGATTCTCTAAGTCTTTCCATGGGAATAGAGATGTAGGGTGGTAGTTAGAAGTTTTTACTAGTCGGCTTCCTTGCAAATAAGATCTCGGGTATTTTCCTTATAGCACTCCTGATAGAGCTCCACTTTGTGATCCATTTTATGGAAACCCTGGTGCATCTCGTGTAAATCTTATGGCACCGCAACAGTGGACTCCGATATTAGATTGACGCCCGACGTTAACTATAAACTTGTAGTATCTAGTTTTCATTAACTACAAACTTGTGGTATATGGAAACGTTGCCTTCATAAGGGGTCTAACAGAAGGGAAACACAAATATGGCGTTAGGTCGGAGGGAAATTTGTAAATTTCTGGTCAGGTCTTCATAGTAGTTACCTTTAGAACCAACGCAACCCTAGACCGGTGTCTGACAGTCTTTTTTTAATTAATTTGCATATTTCCCAAGGAAATTGAAGGTTCGGTCTCTGACAAACTAGAATGGAAGCGGTAGTTAATTAGATTGTCTGCGATGAATCTTTACGTTCTCCTTCGAACATTTCTCGATTCGAAAATCCGAGAAGGTCTCCAAAAGTGAAAAAGGAAAACATGAGAATTAGAGGTTGATTCGCTCTCGATTCGGTGACATTAAAAGGTTGTAAGGCGGAGATTCGAAGATATGGATCTAAACCATCAAAATCTAGATTTGAAATTCTTGAATTTGTTTGATGGCGTTTGCGAAACGAACATGATTCTCGTGGAAATTGTAGGAATCAGAAGTCGATTCCTACAGACAGCGTCACATTTCCGTTGCAGAACCAGAAATGAAGAAAATTGTAAAAATTACGATTGAATGAAGCTTCGTAATCAATTCAGAGATACGACTCCTTTTACCAAAGATTGCGATTGTGAGATATCTTGAATCGAAAACATTGTTGAACCATTTCTAACAAATCAAATTCAAATTAATAATAATTTTATTTTAAAATAAAATATTAATTAAAATAATAACAATATTAATACAAACCAGTCATTCAAACCAAAAACTTCTTTGTAAGTTGGAAGAGATTTTTTACCATCTCATCTAAATTAAAAAAAAAAGAAAAAGTGGGGGTGTATCTGAAAAAGCGTGGTGGAAAAAATACCCCAATTGGAGGGGAAAAAAGTGGGGGTGTATCGGAAGCCCAAACAATGAAAAAAAGAAAAGTAAACAAAATTTGTTCTTCGTTATAAAAGTAGCATCGTCATTGCTGGTTAGGGTTACCCATTGCGGCCGCTGCAAACTTCCCGGTGTGAAACAAACCCTCATCAACCAACCATGGCGGAGCAAGTTTGTTACTTTCAAATCACTGCTTATTGTTTGTGCTTTTGATGATTTTTCGATTTACTAATTGCTTTCTGATTTTGAATTTTCAGACCGAGAAGGCTTATTTGAAGCAACCTAAAGTGTTTCTATGGTAATACTGAAAAACTTTCATTTTTTAGTATGAATGTTGATATTATGGGTTCAATTCCAATGTTGGTGAATCTGTATTTTTTTTATGAAGCTCAAAGGTTTCCGGGAAGGGGAAGAGACCTGGTAAGGGTGGGAATCGGTTCTGGAAATCTGTTGGACTTGGATTTAAGACTCCAAAGGATGCCATTGAAGGTTCGTTCATTCTCAATTTATGAATTTCGTGTGATTTTGATAGTCATGTTAATGTTATTCTTTGATGATTTTGTTTATAATGTCAGTGATTTTTACTCTGATAAAATTTAGTGAATACTCATATGAATACCCATGTTTTAGCTGTTTATGTAGTTGTCATTTCGTGGTTAGAACCATAGATAGATAGTTTGGAATGTTTATGAACATTGATATGCAAATGTTACTATTTTATTGATACAATGGAGTTGACATTGTGTTTTAAGAATTATAAGAATCATAGATAGATAGATAGATTAGGCACATCAAGAGGTTTGTACACAAGAAATTGTAGTCTCCGAAGCACATTGACACCGGTAATAATTTGGAAAAAAATGAAAAAATTAAATGTAATCATGAGTGTAGTTATCGATTTCAGTCACCAACACTGACACAAGACACACTGTTTTTTTTAGAGGTGTCGGTGTTACAAAAATTTGTAGTTACTCAGAATGCGTATCATTCTGTGTTAGGAATAATTGTATAGCCAACAAATTATGATAGTTATAGTTGGTTCCTTTAAAATCCAAACTTTAGTGTGCAATTAGATGAAGAGTCTTTTTGTCATCTCAAATTCTGAAGATTTATTGCATGAACTCAGAATCTAATGTTCTTATATTTATACTAAGCCGCATCAAATCTTTCATTTTTTTATTTGTATATACTTGTGTCTTTATTCGAAGGACTTCTTCTAATGTTTTTCATACAGGAACCTATATTGACAAGAAGTGCCCATTCACTGGCAATGTCTCAATCCGTGGTCGAATCATAGCTGGTACTTGTCATAGTTCTAAGATGAATAGGACCATCATTGTTAGGAGAAATTATCTTCATTTCATCAAGAAGTATCAGAGGTATTCATTACTCTTACTGGTGTGTGCCGTTTTGATGTATTTGTGTGCCGCAATTGTGTAATGGCTATTTGTTGTGATTATTTGTTGTTACTAGATATGAGAAGCGTCATTCTAATATCCCTGCACACGTTTCACCTTGTTTCCGAGTGAAGGAAGGAGATCATGTTATTATTGGCCAATGCAGGTTAGATCTTTGTTGGAAAGCAAAGCTTATTTCTAGTTTATACAAGCAACAAGTTATTTGTTGTGTGTTTAAGCTCTCTATTTACATTTACTTCTACAATGTTCACAGGCCACTTTCAAAAACAGTCAGGTTCAATGTATTGAAAGTCATCCCAGCTGGGTCTTCTAATCTTGCGAAGAAGGCATTTACAGGAATATGAAATTTTCAGCGAGCATTGAAGTCAATTGTACCTTAGTTTTAAATATTTTAAGGTTATGAAATTGATATAATCTGATTAAAATTTGGATTTGTTTAAATGCTTTGCATTGATTTGAGTAGTTAATGTTAAAAGATTTTGTTATAGTTATCGCTTTATATTTTTAGAATGTTTCTTTCTTTTGCTCCTTGTCCTTGTCTGGGTGCTGCATGACATGGTTCAAGAATTGAGTTAGATATGTGAACATTTTATATGGTTTTTATTAGTTATTTTGTAGAATGAAAGCTTGATCAACAGCTCCTTAACTTTGACACAATTTATAGCAGTGGATAAGATCAAATAAAGCCCATCCAAACATCCATACAGGTCCTTAATTGGATAATTTGTATCAATCCAAGTTATTTTCTTCCTAAATAGTATTGGTGTGTCTTTCACCCTAATAAAAGCCTGTTTATAATTATTATAGTTATTATAATTTAAAAAAATCCTTATAATTTTGTTACTTTGAATAATACTAAAATATATCTTTCACCCTAATAAAAGCCTGTTTGTAATTATTATAGTTATTATAATTTTAAAAAATTCTTATAATTTTATGTTATTTTGAGTAATATTAAAATATATTGAGATTTATATTTTTGAAAAGTTGTTAATTATTATTTTTTTAAATCCTTGAATTTTTCCATTGTTGAATTTTTAAATTTTTAAACCAAGTTTGAAATAACTTAATGTTTTTGAATAAATTGTTTAAAGAAAAGCTTGGTATATGTAGAGAAAGTATTCATAGTTCCCTTTTCTAATTAACTAAATCTCACTCTTGTTAGGTATATTCTAATACTCTTGTAAACAAACATATCTGCAATTTTTGCATGGTCGAAAACATGTTGGATTTACAACTTTCCTGATACGCTCTATAAAAAGTGAAAATTGATTTTTATTTGCTTGGTTCGTGTATATAGAATTGGATTATGGGAGAGCATGACTATAGGTAGATTATCACATAGCAAAGAGTGAAGTAGTTGATATGGAGTTCTATAAGTAGCAGTAGATTATCACATAGCAAAGCAAGAGTGAAGTAGTTGATATGGAGTTTTATAAGTAGTGATTCAATCAATGGTAGTTATGAAGTTGTGTGAGCTAGGGCACAATATTTAGCTTCGGTACTCGAGCGAGTTATAAGTGACTCTTTCTTTGAGCTACATGCAATCATGTTAGGGCCAGAGTATATGCAAGAATCAAAAGTGGATCTTCAATCATCCGAGTCACTCACCCAGTCAAAATCACTATATGCGCGTAATGATATTCGATTAAGTTGATTTGCAGGTGATAGAAGCATCCTATGTGTACTCTCTGCACTAAGATATCGAAGAATCCTCTTTACTAGACTCCAATGCGATTGAAGTGGTGAGGACATGAATTGACATGTTTTGTTTACCCAAAATGCAATGTCTGGTCACATGAGAGTTACATAGTACAATGCACATACGATGAACATGTACATAGCTTGATTTGATAACGCACATTTGAAACATGTTTGCTCAACTTGCAGTGACTGAACATGACTCCATTTGCAATTGACATATTGAATTTACTCCAGAGATCCTTGATGTAATTGGATTGTGTGAGTCAATACACTTTCACTTGGCTGATAATGTACTTCAATCCCTAGGAAACATTTTGGAACTCCAAGCTTCTTCAGGGCAAATGGCAAATGTATCATGTAACTTTGTGATTCATGAATTAATGCACAATGTTAGTTACGAGAATATCATCCACATATACCAATGCATACAATGCGACTCCTTGGTGTTTGTATACAAACACAAATAGTGAATGATCACATTTGTTAGACACAAAATCCAACTGACATGGCCCTTGGAGCATGCTTCAAGCCATATTTTCATTTTTTAGTTTGCAAACTAGAGTCGTATTCGAGTCTACAAAGCCATGTGGTTCATCCATGTAAACTTCTTGAAGATCCCCATTGGAAACAACATTATACCAATTTTTTGGATTTCCCACTTCAAGGTGATAGCTAAAGACAAGATAATTTGAATGGTTGTTGGTTTTACTACAATGAGAACGTTTCATGGGAAACAAAGCCTTCTTATTGGTGAAAACTTTTGCTACTAGCCTTGCTTTGTATTTGTTAACACTCCTATATGGATTTTCTTTTATTTTGAATAACCACTTGCACCTTATAGGTTTCCTATTAGGTGGAAGTGTGGACAATGCCCTCATGCCATTCTTAAAAAGTGATTTATATTCTGACTTCATTGTCTCAAACCAACCAGGATTGGCAAGAGCTTATTTTGTGGTGTTTGGTTCAGTATGTACTAGGAAAGCTTTAGGTTTGGATTTGATTGTTTTAGCTCTAGTCAGTATGGAATGTTACTAATTAAGGTATTTGGAGTCTGATGTTGAGTGTGAAATGATGGGGGGAAAAGAACTTGTAGATGAGCTGACTATGTTTTGTGACCAGGATACATTGGTGTTATCTGTTGGGGATTTCTTGGATTAAAAATTATTAAATGACTGAGATGACACATGCTTAGATAATACTAAATTAGTGATTGAGATGAGTGAAACCCTGACTGAGATGAGTGAATTATATTGGAAACATGAGACAAGTTAGGTGAATATTCCTTAGATAAAGTTTGTCTTTGTGCTAGTTGAGTTGATAGACTGTGAGTGACAAGTACAAGACTAGAATTATCTTGCGGATTAATGGAGAGAGTGGAAATATGAGGTGTTTGTTCAACAAGTGCCTTAGTTTCTATAGCGGAGGATGAGGCAAGCAAAAGAAGATGAACACTAGAGTGGTTGCGAGAGATACTTGTGAGATTCTCATCAGGTTTGGATGAGAAAAACTTGTTGAAGGGAAGCTCAGTTTCATTGAATTTGACATGCTTGGATATGAAGATTCTTCCTTCAACATTAAGACATTTGTGACCTTTGTGAGTTGGAGACACATCTAAATACACACATTGACTGCTTGTAAATTGGGGTTTATGTTGGTTATATGGCCTGAGCAAAGGAAAACATGAGCATCCAAACACATTTAAAAAGATGTATTACTTGTTAGACAAGGCAACATAAAGTGAGATGAATTTAGAGAGACCAACTATTGGCAGTCTATGTATGAGGTAGAAAACTTTAGTAAAACATTGATCCGACATATGTGATTGGAATTGAAGTATGAGCAAGGACAGTTAGCCCTATTTTCACTATCTATATATGTTTTCTTTCCACAGTCCCATTCTGATGTGAAGTATATAGACATGTGAGCCTATGAAATATGCCTAGCTTCTTGAGATGTTTGGTGAATTGTCTAAATTCTCCTCCAAAGACAAATTGATAAACTTTTATATTGGTGTTAAACTATGTAGCTACATACTTCTGAAATAGTTTGAAGGCATTTAGAGAATCACTTTTATTCTTGAGAAGATACAACTAAGTGTACTTGGAAAATGCATAAATAAAATCTATATAACATGAATATCCATTGCTTGAAGGGTTAGGACAAGGGCCCCATAAATCAATATGAACAACATCAAAAGAATTAGTATAGTTGGTATTTGACAAAGGAACACATATTCTATGTGATTTACCAAGATAACAAGAGTTACAAAATTCTACTATATCTTTATTCATGCATTAAATTTTAATAAGATTTATTTGAAACATGATCTAATGCAGTAGTATCATGAACAAAAAAAGAATCTTGATGTAACTTGTGTTTGAAGCAGTTGCTTGAAGGGTCAAGAATAAGAATGTTGAAGCAGTACAATACATGTACAATCCACTCCCATCAAGGAATCCTTCAAGGTGAACCAACTTAAATGGATTTCACATAACACTTATCAACATGGAATTCAAAATATGCATCATTATCTCTAGCAAATGTCAAAACAGAAGTATATTTCTAGTTATTTAGGGTACATATAATAAGTGGTTTAAGGGAGACACTGATTTTGATATGCAATTTAACTTGACATTGGTATATGAACAATAGACTGAACTAACATGCTATGTCCATTACCAACAAATACTTTCTTAGGACCATCACATGACATTTTCATTTGCAAGTTAGATTCAATAGAGGTAATGTGATGTGATGCACCCGAGTTTGTGAACCAAGCTTGAGCCCTAAGGTCCTGGGTGAAGGTACAAGAAATATAAGAAATGAGAGTTTGATTTGGATTTCACCAAATGTAATATTTTCAAAACTTAGACTCCAAGCTAACAAGTGAATAAAAATAAATGAACACAATTATTTTTATCCTGGTTCATTGTTAAGTAAGTTACTCTAGTCCACCCGCCAAAGTGATTCCACCTTCAATAAAAACTTAATCGATTATAACAAAACTGATTACAGAAACCACAACAAGTCTAATTGACCTTGTTGCAAACCAAAATAGACAACTGCCACTGCCTTCTTGAGACTTCTGACTAAACCCTAGTCTCTCAAGGAACTAGCGAAAATGGTTGATTACAAGCGTGTGTATATAAAGATGCTTCTGCACAAGCAGATTACACAAAGTTTAAGCACAATAACACAAAAGTGTTAATAACAAGATATGAACAAAAGCTCCTTTCTAATTTACAAAACTATACAAAGTATATCTCAAAAGAGGTTTTTGCAACGTTTCAACGTAAGTTTTGTAGAGCATATTCATTATTTTCCAATTCTTCCAAGTCTTTCTTTTATAGTTGAAAATAGATCTGTTGGGGTGGGGGTAGGGGGTGGGGTGGGGTGGTGGGGATAGAATGAGAAACAGAAATCCAGCTGTTTTGCTCTTAACGGCCATTGTGGGAGTGTTAGACAACATACTATCAAAGGACTGTCCTTGTTCCACCTTAGCAGGGTAGTGGTCACAATTTACCTTGTACTTTTATACTTATTATCTCACGCAAACCATTTTTGATCTTTATATTATATTCTTGAGAGGCTTCTGATGTATGTTGATGAAACGTGTTGTAGAAGGATCAAAACTTGAGTCTTCATAACCTAAGTCTCTAGAGTCTTTAGAGCCTGTTCAGTAGAACCTTGCTTTTAGAGTCTTCAGCACATGGTCCTTTGAAGTGATGTCTTCAAAATCTTCAGAACTTGTTTAGCAGAACCTTTTCATTAGATTCTTTAGCACTTGGTCCTTAAAAGCAAAGCTTTAAAAGGCCTCTAAAGCTTATTTACTAAAACATGATCAGAAGCTCTAGTACTAGCACTCTTTAGAACTGTTGTATTAAAAGTATTCTGGAATCTTGACTTGAATTTGTAAACACCATATATTTTCTTCCAGAGTGTTGAGTTCAGAGCCTGATGACACGTTACACACATTTCCTTCAGAGTCAGAATCTGTTTAGCAAAAGGTACACACTAGACAAAAACTATTAGTGTATAAAATTGTTCTCTAGGATAAAATGTAAAGTTATCATAAAACCTTAAGGGCAGATGCATAACCAAATCTTGTTCTTACATTAGGGAATTCATAACTGTTTTTGATGCGCCAAATAGGTATTTGCTTGAGCAGATACTGATGCTTGGTTTTTTTGAGTGTCTGACGCATTGGCTAGGTCATTTGTTGTAGAGCCTTGAGCTTGAACTTCGATTTATGTAGGTTCGAAGTATTCATCAAATTGATGCCATCATTCTATCAATGAATGGCCATTTTTTTGCATAGCTAACAAGTAGGGGTGAAAAATCGGGCCCGTCCTGTCGAGCATGCACGTTTTTCTCATACTTTTTCACGGGGCATGTCAAGTTTTTAAGCCTACACGCTTTAATATTCCTGCCCCGCCCGCTTTTGAAGGCATATGATTTCACACATGATTTTGTAATTTTCAAGCCCTAAAAGGTTCAATGCATGCAACCCTCCTTGCCCCGCTCTCACTTTTATGCGGGCCGTGGGAAGCTTTAAGGCCCGCACCCTAAAATCTACCCGCCCCTCCCCGTTTTTATGTGGTCTTTTACTGGGTGATCTTAAATGTGGCAGAGATGCCTGTTCGCCACCTCTACTGACAAATAGGTCTGTTACCTGGAGTATAACTTTGTCTCCCACGATCTCTTCCAGAAATTGTTCTACCTTTACCTCCAAACATATGGCTTGTGCCAAAGTTATGGCAGTTTTTACTTGCTCCTGAGTTACCTAAAGATTGTGCTACACTTTCCGCTGCACTTGGTGTAACAATTTCTTGTCGATACTTGTCAAGTTAAGCTTCTTGCACATATAGTAAAACTTCTACATCAAAGATGCTCGTTGGATCACCGTTTCCATAAATAATCATGATAAATGGATTATATTCTTCATTAAAATCTTGCAAGATTGCATCAATTTGATCTCTCCTCGAGATAGGATCACCTATAGCTAGAAGTGAATCAACTATAGCGTGAATTCTTTGGACATACTCAGAGATCGACTTGCTCAATTTCTTGCTCGTTTTGAGTTCAAACTCGAGTTCATGCGCATGAGATTTCATTTGCGAATTAAAGTACTTGTGCACTTTATCCCACACTTCATATGCATGCTTCTAGGAAATAACACATGGTAACACAACTTCAAGATCGTGGAAAGAAGCCACGTGAACAATGTTTGACCATGCACGATCCAAGCTTCATAATTTTCAGAGACAATATTCTCCAACCGATCATTTTCTGTTTTGAACATCGGGGGAATCTGTGGATTAACTACCACTTTATATAGCGAGAGAATTACTCCCATAACTTGTTGATTCCATAACAGAAAATTGGTTTCTTCCAGCTTTATAGAGAGCTTTAGTGCAAAAGTATTTGTGGATCCTCAAAACGCCATTGTCGATGTAGCAACTTAAGATGAATTTGCTACCAGTTGTGTGTTCAGAAGTGATGAATCAAGATCAACCATTATTGCTTCTTTGAAATTGGTTGTAGTTGATACTCGAAACTCTATATGCACACCAATGTTAAAGCTATCCGAAACTCTTTGAATCTTTAAACCTTCACCTATGGAAAAGATGATGATGATAATATAATAGAGTTAGATCCCTTAGGCTGATACCATATTAAATGAAAATTTATGAATGTGTATGATTGAATGGATGAATCTCATAGAGGAAAAACTGATTTTCAAACATTTCTCATTTTTCAATGATTGATTATTACAAAAGTGAATGCTTAATATATATATATAGAAGCATTCATAGATGGTTATCCTAACTAACTTCACTTTGATATAAGGACATTTTTATAGTTATTTATAGTTAGTATAATTAACTATGACTAACCCTTGTTAGTTATTATTTAATATCTACTAAGTGCATTGAATACATAGATTAAATTTTGCTAAATATTTTATTTAGGACTGTTTCTATCTATTTTGTTAATCTTAGATATGACCTTAAAAGGAAGTCAATTCTTCCAAATAAGCGGAAGGAACCGAGCAACATGAAGAGAAATGTTATCATGTTTCAAAGACAAAAGTAACAGAGAAATATATGATGCTTTAACATAATATAGGTCGTCCTTATTAATCGATCAACACCAAATAATTGGAACAAATAATGAAAACACTCAATGGTCACCAACAAATAACCCACACAATCAAATTTCTAAACAAACAGATCCCTCCTCTACTTAAGTTCCATGGTGCAAATATTGTTTACATGATTTCTCAAGATACTAGCTTTCCTAGTGCGTTGACTCGAGATCAAGTAAAGCCTCATAAAATGAGCTCGCAGGGGGGAAATCCCATTCCACCATGTGCTACCCAATTTAATGTTCTAGTGGGGAATGGATGGCCAATGCAAATTTCTAACCTCTCTATTGAGACTCACGTACATATTCTTGTGTTACCGATGTTTTTAATTCCTTTATCTGCAGCTAATTTAATATTGGGTCCACTCATTGCAGATTATGTCATTCTTAGTCTAAAAGAGTTTATAGATTGCAAATTTCTCACTCTTTCCTGCATCAACAATTCTACTCTACTACAATCTGAGTTGCATCACATTCACCGTCTTCAAATTAGGAAGCAGATTGTTGACTAATAAATTACCTAGAATATCAAACATACATTTTTTCATTATGCAAACATACATCAAAGATTCGAAAATCGATACCAAACTACCCAAACATACAAAGTTACAACCATAGTTTAGGACTAACTTGTTTTATTTAGAATATATAAAATCTGGTACTTGCACATCATAGTTCTCCTTACATACTTATATTACTTTAACACAAATTCAGTTTGATCATGAAGCTTCCATGTTGTGCACAACCAGTTAGCATCTAGATGGCACAAGGACGATCAACAGAAAAATTAGGCACCCAAGCAGCAGCCTTATTGCCAATGAAATGGCAAACAGAAACAGTTCCAGGGCTAACTTTGAGAGCTTCGTAAAGCAACTCAGGGTTCATGCCTCTTGTATCATGATGACAAACTGTTAAAGCCTTTGCCTTGGTTCCATCAGGTGCTGCCAATGAGACCACGTAAGCGGTTGTTGCACGCACTTGGTGGCAATTGAATACAACTTTTTCAAAATTCAATCTATGACACATCACTGCATTGTCACCGACTTTTTTGACTTCCTCCACCACATATTGATCTTGATTTATGTCAAAAGTACTTGAAATAGCCTTAATCTTTGATGTTCCAAAATGTGAAATGACATGATCAACCATAGATTCTAAAGATGATACACAATGTTTGCGTTCTCCTTTAGCAGTTGGACTATTACAGAAGTCATCTAGACTTTGTCTTTCTTTATTCTCCAGCCATATGGAATCAGTAACACCTTGTGTTGGTTCAGTGAATGGCCGCGCCGTCTTTGCAACAGAGTGAGTGTTACCCAATACTATTTTCTTTCCAGGATAAAGATCATGTGGAAAAAATAGTGTCGAGTATTGGTTTAATTCTTCCAATCTAATAGGTAGGTTATTGGTTTTTCCATCTGCCATATGAAACAACATATTGATTAGTTCAAAAACCATTATAAATAGTCTTATTATAAGGCAACATTTCATTATATATATAATTAATGTTACTAACAAGGAAGCAGAAGATCTAAAAAAGCCTTAGGGAGAGGACTGTTTGGCCAGACATATTTCCAATAATCTTCTCCGGATGGTATGGCACCAGTTCTTACAAAAGCCAACTGCAAAAATAAATTAACATTTTACATATTAGTGTTGAATTCAAAATGATTAAAGAATTTCTTCCTCATTCCTTCTTATAAAAAGTTGATGACAATTTCGATCAAAAACCAAATATGCATGATATAATAGAATAGAAAATAGATAACTTATACAAAAGAGAGCCAAAATTGTGATATGTGAAAACTCCATTTAACTAGATCTAAAGAACTGATAAATGTGAAAAGTGCAGTGAGTGTGTGAAAAGTGAGTGTGTGAAACTGTTACAAGTTTCTCATTATTTATAATTGCATGCAAAACTTGTGTTATTGATCGTATCGATTCCTCCAAGTGGTAACAAAGTTGGTGCCAACTTCATTATCCAATACAAATAGTTGGTTCATTGATAGGTTTAGTAATAAGAAATTTAACCAAGTGTATTTTCAAAACACGAAACATCTCCCAAGGCATAATTATATTGAATTCTAATAAGCATGAGTGTTACTTTGTTTTTTCTAAACTCAGATACTAAATATACCGTTCAACATAATTAAATTACATAACTTTTTTATATCTTTACAAATTTTCTTATATGCTACTATTTACATGTTTATTTAATATTAAAAATAATATATATATATATATATATATATATATATATATATATATATATAATTTTTAATAATCACTTTTTTATATATGTGATGACTGATAAGAGATATATAACAAAATTTATTTATTATACTTTATCTTAAATAAGTGCATAATTAATGAATTTAATATATTAAATTAATTTTACTATTTTTATTTTAGAGGAGACAAAAGATATGTTTAGTGTCTATAGTATAAAGAAGTTCATGACTATTTCAAACAAGAATAAAGTCTAAATTACATATAACTTACACAAAAGAGAGCCAAAACGGTGATATGTGCGAACTCCATTTAGCTACTAAAGTGATAGTAACTGCGAAGAGTTTAGTGAGTGTGTATGAAAATGTTCCAAGTTTCTCGTTATTTATAGGCAAATACATACCTATAGTTGCATGCAAATCTTGTCTTATTGATCATATTGATTCCTCCAAATGGTAACAAAGTTTATGCAGATGTCATCCATGCAAAACAATTGTATTATCTCCTAGTGCACATGGCTTCCATGCACATCACCTCATTCTACGCAAAGCCTATGCAAATGGCGTCCATGCAGGAAGATACCATTACTTAGTAGTAGTATCCAAAGTATAGCATAGCATGTGCATAATACTATAATTTCCTGCATTATTTTACTTTTAAAGACTCCAATACTTTATTAAAGTGTTTCAAGACATTCTTTTATTAAATACAGTCATGTGGCAAATATATAATTTAAAGACAAAATATTATTTTCTTTTTTATAAAATTTAAGTTATATTTAACATGAATCGGTTGGGTTTATAGCCCATCATTTGAACTTTAATTAAGATTTTGCTTTGCTTTAAAAAGCTTATATGAAATTTATTAAATAACTCTGAATAATTTGGAACACTTTTTTGTAAACCAAATTTTAAATTACATTTAAATCTCCATCTTCATTGTCATTTATTATTATCTTAATTTTTTTTTGAAGTAATCTTTGATAGTGCAATATATAGTTGTTAATGAGAGAAAATTGATTAGAAAAGATACACTCCAACATATTTGAGTGACTCGTCTTGACTTTTGTTGAAAGTCATAGCGAATGAAACCTGGAAATTGTTGACGTTGAAATTTGAAAAGAAGTATTTTTATTTGAAGGTGTCAATGATAACCTTGAAATAAAAACATTCTCATCAATATTGCTACCAGATATAATTTTTCCTTCAAACACATACATTACAAGGAAATTGCCTATTAGCTCGGCCAAAAGCCTTCGCCAAAAGGCTAAATCCTGTTAGCGTCGACCTAGCGTTGGGGCGGACAACCTAAAGATGGTAGCAAAACATAATCACAGACCGTCGCTACTATTAGTGTCAACTATGGTGACACTAAGATACAAAAAATGACACTACTTTGTTAAATTTTTTTTGCTATAACATCGCTTACAAACGACGTAAATTTCCTATAGTGGCGGTTTGATGTGACACTTAATTATTTTTTTCACTGCCTTAGCCCCGATTTTCAATGACACTTTCATATGAATATGGCCACTTTGCGTCGTTCTTTGGAGACACTAGTTGTAGCTTTATTGATTAATATAGTTGCTAAAAATCGACGCTATATTTCAATAATCGTGTATATTAATATTGCCCATAACCGACATCATTATTTTTTATATTTTAATTATATATTGCCCATAACCGACATCATTATTTTTTATATTTTAATTATATATTAACGACAGTTGTGTTAACACTGTTGTTTTTATCGTTGTTTGTAGTGGTCGCTATTTGGGGGGGGGGGGTGTTTATATATTTATATTTAAACCTGTTTTAAACCAAATCTATTTAAACCTCTTTCAAACTATTCATCAGATTTCCAACACAACATAACAAACTCAAGCCAAGCCATGATATTGCTACATTAATTAAGATGTCAAAGTTACATCAAAATATTAACATAAAGATGTCAAAGTTACATCAAAATACCAACACAAAATATTGCTACATTACATCAAAATACCAACACAAACATGTCAAAGCATAAAAATATCAAACTTGTGAAAATTCACAATAATTTGAACAAGTTTTAAAACTAAGAAAAAGACAATGCGTATGACTCAACATCCATCACTCATTCCATCTAGATCGAATGACTGCTCATTCGAGTCATCATCGAATGGACATGAGTATTAGGATCGACACTAGAAGGAGCAATGGAAGGACCCACCTGACTCGACTTCCAAGCAAACATCTCTTTATGTGCGCCAAATAGGTATTTGTTTGAGCAGATGTTGATGCTTGAGTTTTTTGAGTGTCTGATGCATTTGCGAGGTCATTTGTTGCAGATCCTTGAGCTTGAACTTTAGTTTATGTAGGTTCGAAGTATTCATCAAATCAATGCCACCATTCTATCACTGAGTGACAATTTTTTTGCATAGCTAACAAGTAGGGGTGCAAAAACGGGCCCATTCCATCAAGCATGCACGTTTTGCTTGCACATTTTTGCGGGGCGGTCAAGGTTTTAGGCCCACACCCTTTAATATTTCCGCCCGACCCCATTTCTTTTCCGGTTTTTGCGGGCACATGATTTTACACATGATTTTGTAATTTTCAGGTCTAAAAGGTTCAATGCCTGCGGGCTCGGCCTGCCTCACTCTCACTTTTATGCGGGGCGTGCCAAGATTTTAAGCACGCACACTCAAATATGTCCGCCCCACCCCATTTTTAGTGCGCTTTTGCAAGGCGATCCTAAATGTGGCAGGGATTCTCGTTTTCCACCTCTACTAACAAGTAGGTCTGTTACCTGGAGTATAACTTTGTCTCCCACGAACTCTTCTAGAAATTTTTCTACCTTTACCTCGAAACACATGGTTTGTGCCAAAGCTATGACCGTTTTTTACTTGTTCCCAAGTTACCTAAAGATTGTGCTACATTTGTCGCTGCACTTGCTGTAACAAGTTCTTCTCGATATTTGTCAAGTCGAGGTTCTTGCACATATAGTAAAACTTCTACGTCATAGATTCCCGTTGGCTAATCGTTTCCATAAATCATCATGATAAATGAATTATATTATTTAGGAAAACCTTGCAAGATTGCATCAATTTGATCTCTCCCCGAGATAGGATCACCTATAGCTAGAAGTAAATCAACTACAGCGTGAATTCGTAGGTCATACTCAGAGATCAACTTGCTTCCTTTCTTGCTCGTCTTGAGTTCAAACTCGAGTTCATGCACATGAGCTTTCATTTCTAAATTAAAGTACTTGTGAACTTTATCCCACACTTCATATGCATGCTTCTAGGAAAGAACACATCGTAGTAGAACTTCTAAGATCATGGAGAGAAGCCATGTGAATAATGCTTGATCGTGCATGATCCAAGCTTCATAATTTTCAGAGACAATATTCGCCAACTGATCATTTTTTGTTTTGAACATCGATGAAATCTATAGATTAACTACCACTTTATGGAGTTTATGTGATAGAATTATTCCCTTAACTTGTTGGTTCCACAATACGAAATTGGTTTCTTCCAGCTTGATAGAAAGTTTCGGTGCAAAAGTATTTGTGGATCCTCAAAACACCATTGTCGATATAGCAACTTGAGATGAATTTGCAATTGGTTGTGGGTTGAGAAATGATGAATCAAGATCTGCCATTGTTGCTTCTTTGGAGATGGTTGTAGTTGATACCCGAAACTCTATGTGAACACTAATGTTGAAGCTTCTTTGAAGCTTTAAAACTTAAGCTATGGAGAAGAAGATGGTGATAATGCAGCAGAGTTAGGCCTCTTACGTTGATACCATATTAGATGAGAATTCATGCATGTATATGATTGAATGGATGAATCTCAGAGGGAAAACATGATTTTCATGCATTTCATTTTCAATGATTGATTATTACAAGAGTGAATGCTTAGTATATATTGAGAAGCATCATAGATCCTTATCCTAACTAACTTCACTTTGATATAAGGACCTTTCTATAGTTAGTATAATTAACTATGACTAACTCTTGAAAGTTATTCTCTAATATCCACCAAGTGCATTGAATACATGGATTAAATTTTGCTAAATATTTCATGTAAGACTATGTTTCTATCTATTTCTTTAAATTTAGATATGAACTTAAAAGGAAGCTAATTCTTCCAAATAAGCATGAGGATCCGAGCAACATGAGGAGAAACATTTATCATGTTTTAAAGTCAAAAATAACAAAGAGTTATAGAATAGGGGTGACAAAATGGGCCGTGGCCCGCTGAGCTGGCCTGCACACCCGCCAAAAAATGGTGGGTTGGGATTTTGGGCCCGCCGTCCACCAAAGCCCGCCCCCGCTAAAGACCGCCACCCGCCAAAGCCCATCCCGCCAAAACCCGCCCCCTGCGAAAGGCTTCCACACCTATTCGTTCAGCTTGTCCCACCTTAAACCCACCCTTTTTAGTTAATTCTAGTAATTCTAGTTCTTTATGGTTTTACTTTATACATTTATTTGAGAATCTATGCAATAATTTTTGAAGTAAAATTTGTTAAAAAGATGATTTATAAAAATTGTTCTAAAAAATAAGTGAACATTTTAATTGAAATGTAAAAAAAGGCTATTAATCTATTAAAAAAATGAAAAATAAATAAATAAAAAAGAAGGCGGGCAAGCCCGCTGCCCGCCACCTTGGCGGGGCGAGCTAGATTTTTATGCCTATTTCCACTTGGCGGGCTTGCCCGCCTAGCCTTTTTTTTGGCGGGCTTATGGCGGAATGGGCGAGGTGGGTGACCCATTTTACCACCCTTAGTATACAATGCTTGAAGATAATACAGTCTGTCCTTATTAATCGATCAACACCAAATACCATATTGGAACAAATAATAAAAACCCTCAATAATCACCCTTAATCTTGTCGGATCAGTTTAGTTTAGAACAATTTGTATTAAAACTGTCATAAGCCTATGCTGAGTTCTTGGGGTTTTAGGTCTTGTTGACATAGCTGCTTTGATGCCTAGCTTGCTGTCCAGGTAGGAAGGAGGTTTGGGCAATTTAGTTCCCCATCAGAATTTTGTTAAGTTCTATATATCTTGGTTGATGCTTGATATAGGGGAATGCCATGGTTGATTTGTTTAGTTTGACTATGTTGGCATCTTTGGTGGGGGGTTTAGGTTCAGCAGTTGGTATTTGTCATGGGATAAGCTAGATTAGTTGAGCTATTTGTTTAGGCTGGATTGTTCTAACTCAATTGTTTAATCTGTACCATTCTTATTTCTATGAATCAATGTGGCACTTGTGTTCACCCCTTTGAAAGAGCATGGCTACCATCTCTATGTGAAGATGTGTTATTTTTA